GGCTGCCGACACCTACAGTACGAATAGACATGTGTCGATTAAGGTCTTTTTTTTTGCATCCTTTCCATCGTAATAAAAATATCTCATGATCTGCCACCATTGCAGAAGTTTGAGACAAAGTTCAGATCAGGTGGACACATGGTTCTTAAACAGACCAGCAAACATCTTTTGCTGGTCAGTGAATTCAAATTCATGAGGTGAGTTACTTTATTAACTTTTTTATAAGTAACTTTATTTATATAGCAAATTCTTACCCTGAGAAAAGTCAGGTCCCTGCTACGGTCGATGCTCGTGATCTCAAGGTTGCCCATAACGACTTCACAGTTCTCGTAGTATTTCCTCAGGGTGCGGTACTGCTGTTCCAGGTCCGACAGCGTGCTCAGCCTGTTCTCTGTACCAGCGCATACTAGGGGGAAAAAAAACCACAGTGAGACAGACAGTTTTAACAAGGTGAGAGTGAAACAGTTAGACTTTAATAAGGCTCTTCATCTTCGTCTTACTGCGGGAGAAAAAAAAGATGACCATTCATGAGGATTTAAGGATTGAGGGATTAAACACAAAAGTGATACAAAAACTTAGAGTTGTACTTCAGACAAGGTTCAGACATCAGACGACCACCGAGGTCACATAAGGCAAGAGCTCCACCTGACTCGTCTGGATTCAAACACCTTGAAATTAAAATCAGCCCTCTGGACGTCTTTAGCGACCTGTCGGGCTGCTACCGTCAGAAATGTTTAAAACGCCTACATCAGCAACAATCACATGACTCGACCCTGATGATGAGCAGGTCCAAGAGGCCATACAGCTGTAGCTACATGATGTAGTATACAACATGGCAGTTCTTAAGGCACCAGAGGCTGTAAAGCAGGAGTCACTAACTATATCTGTCGGAGGGGAGAAAATATTTCTAAACAGGCATCTTAGGGAGGCGGACACACCCCTGCCCAGAGCCACATTGTTGTTTAACATTATTATTCGATGACTTATTCTGAAATCCAGTCATGGCCCAGACTGCACAATTCAGCGGGCCGGATTTGGTCCATGGGCCACCAGTTGATTATCATTGCCGTACAGAGACATGGACTGTGTTCAAACACCTCAGTGTCTTGGTAGATACTGTATGTGGTGCGTCAAAGTACTCCAATGTGACCTGGACTTCACTTGTACGACTATCGGTGATTAGCTAGACTCCACATAGCATAACGTCCTGCTCAGGAATGATAAATGACAGACTTGGGTGTTTTCAATAACAGTTAGCGTGGGCTTGAGGGAAGCAGGATGGAGAGTAGAGGGGCTCATAAAGTGAGGATAGGTGTAATAAACTGTTATTGCACCCTTGAGGCAGGGTGCTGAGATCAGAGCGCCAGGGCCACTGTGGCAAGGATGTCGAGTGAAACTTACTTTTTTTCTCTCTCTTTTCTTTTTGAACCCATTCAGTTCATGGATTCACAGTAATGGTGGAGAGCGGACGCTGGCATGCCTGTTGCCGCTGCTCTCCGGCCGTTTGAGCTCATTCCCCTCCTTCTTAGTGTTTTCTCGGCTTTCACACCATCACTACCGACTTGCTTTCATGGAATTGTGCTACACCTAATCGGTTCCATTGTCCTAATATATCCTGCTGTAACTCCAGCACTTTTGTTTGCAAGTGCTCGGGCTAACGCCGGTAGCTGAGGCTAGCGCTGCTAGCGAGGGCCAACGCCGGTAGCTGAGGCTAGCGATGCTAGTGAGGGCTATTTTTATTATTTGATGTAAAGTGTCCTTGAGTGTCCTGAAAGGCGCTTTTTAAATAAAATGTATTATTATTATTATTATTATGGAGCTCGCCGACTTTTAAACACTGCCCAGTCCTGTGTGGCGTCTGCATGGACCTCCCTGTGTGAGACGTCTGATTAAACGCTGAATTCCTATAGCTCTGCAGGAAGCTAAGTCTGTAGCGAGTGCCAAGTGAACCACAACGGAACCATCTGTGCCGTGCGGAGTGAATGTAGAGGAACGTGTTGGAAGATTTGTCGCCGTGTGATTCTACTGTGGAATTGTTTGTAAGTGTGTCCGTGAGTGGGCCGGTTGTAAATAGAGCTCAGGATATATATCCACCCTCTGAGCGCATGATCACATCCATTACTCTCCCTGTGCAATATATCACTGTAAAGACTGTGTAAAACACACTGTCTGTTCCTGGATCCTCGAGACATGAGACACAGTTAGACACAGTGTCTTCAAAGCCTGGCAGAAAAGTTCCATTTTCATGTTGTACAAAAATTTCTGAAGGAGAATCCATTGTAATGTGCTGACGTACAGTTTGTTATTCATTAACACCAGCAGTGGACGATATTGCATATGTGTCAAAAGTGTGGGCACTCCTGATGTAGTACATAGTAGTAAGTACATATAAAGTATATTCAGTAAGCATGGTGGCCAAGTCTGCTTATTATAAGCGATTCTGAGTTTGTTTGTTTTTCTGTAAATAAACTCATATATATTAATATGCAGTTGTTTTGTTTTGTTTTTTTATCACAAACACCGACCCAGTAATAAACTGTAGCCTCACTGCATTCAGGCTGAGGGACGGGTCACTTCCTTTTTGTGTTAATTTGCAAATGGTTGCTTGTTTCTATAGGTAGATCTGTCAAAATTGATAATAAATGACTATTATATTTACTCAGTATATACTGTAGTTGTGTTGTGTTTCCAGATCTAAGCAGAGTTGATAAATTAGGTGCAATGAATCACTATATATCCGGACTTTTCTATGTATGTAATTAATGAAAAGATTATGAGCCACTGCTGAAAATGTACATTTGTCTCAATTCACGTTTCCCCACAATGAGATTCCTATCGAAAATTACTTTAACAACGGAAAAATAATATTAGCCATGTGGCAAATCAATATAATTACTCAACAATAAGAAAGTTTGTTGAGGACACCATGCAATTTAAGCAGTTTTTAATTCAAAAACCATGACCGGATCACATACACAGTGTAATCCTGTGGTTTCTCGGCCATTCCAATCTGAGAGGAACTCCATCAATAATGCCGCGTGTGATTATTGAATGCCTATAAAGCAGGCACGACTTGGAGGTTTATAGGTTTCTGCCACGGACGCCACCGAAAGGTCAACCTAATAGCCAGTAACTGACTGAATCAAATAAAGTTGCAAATGTCACTTCCATAAGTAAACACTGTCGATATCTGAGCTCGACCAACGTGGCTTGAATAAACAGGTGGGGCCTTGTAGATGTTAGCATAGTCAAACTGCCTCACATGCATTCCTAATGTTCCACCAGCAACACTGGACAGAGCCAGAGCTGTCCCTTGTCCCCCTCATGTCCCCCAGATGAGCCTGGGCTGCAGAATGTGAGTTATAATCCACCGTCTCTGATTGTCATCACAGACCAGATTATAGTCCATCTGCCTAACGGCTTCATAAACATCGGAAACAATAACCGCATGAGCGTCCGTGACCGTGGCTCGGTCCAGTAACCTCCCGCTTCCCTCTGAGTTCTGGTTGACCGACCACACCGCTGGGCCTCACCCATATGGTCCGCCTCACATTAGCATTCACGTCCTTGCTGCTGCACAGCCCCGCTACCTTGTGGGAGTTTGCTACAGAGCATCGCCTGCAGCTGCCACTTTACCGCGGCAGCAGATTAAATGCCATGTCATTTGTATATAACACATCACTAACTGTTGGACCAACGTGTACTGTATGATCTGTGTCTTTTTATCTTTGGTCTCACGGCCTTTATCACACTTTTACATCTGGCACAAATAAATCAAATTGACTTAACTTCAAACAGCCAATACAATTCAATGTAAACACATTTATTAAAGTACCTGCAGTGGGTTCAGGTATTAAAGATGGACAGATTTTATTTACTGTCGTTAGTGTAAAATCTGGTGATTTGGGAGTTGACCAATCGGGCCTTGAAAGACTGAAATTATGAATGTGGCTGTTTAGAATGTCTAGTATTGGATCTGAAATGATAATATCTGTTACAGGATATATATGGGAAAAAATGCTAATAATTCTCACACCTCCTGATACAAAACTAATCCTTTATAACCTTTTTATATATCATTCCTTACTATTTTTAGCACTGTCGTTCTCACTTTGTTCTTCCTCCTATTATTTTTATAAATCACATTTTACATAAAACAATGTGCGGGACATAATGTAAATTGCAGAGCCCCGAGGCTAGCGCACTGACAAATGGTGTCATTTTCATTCAAGAATGAATGAAATGGAAAAATGAAACAGGACGGGCTCATTGATGCTAAAAAATATTACACGTGGGATTAGGACCATTAACGTCTCCTTCCACCTGTCTCCTGTCTCCTCTCAGTCTTGACCCCAATTTTTACATTTTCCCTCATTTGAATTTTTTCATTCATGGATTTGTGCACAGCCTCCACTGTGACACAGGTCCGTTCCCTCTTCAGTTAAAATCTCTTTCACTTCAGTTGGTTAGTTGATATTTATGGGCAAATTACTTCTAAAAACTAAGTTTGTCATCCATTAGCTGGACTGTTCAGTTATTTTCACTGTTACCGGGAATCAAAAATTAGCCGTGTACTAATCATGGTTATTGTGATTAATTATGATCTAAATTAATAAAGACTAATTGTGATTATATATCACAACAGCATTCATTAAGCATTTAATAATAAGAGTAAGTAGATGTACGTGTTTCACACTAACACATTTGGAAAAAAATGTTCAGAATCTGCATCTTGATGGTGGCTTGCTTCAAGAGTTGCTTCCAGAACTTTCTGTCAAGTTCTTGTCCTCAACAATATTAATGGAACTACTATCCTTTGCAAGTTCGTCAACCATAGAGGATGGACAAGCCAGGCGTCTGACCTGAAGTTGAAGCCTCTCCAAATGCACAATGAGTGTTGAAATGTTATTTAAATTTCAAAGTTCTACAGTTAAACAAATACTTTTTTTTCTTTTTTAGTAATTGGATAAACACATTATGTCTCTCTGCCCATGCAGTAAAATTTTAATTTAATTATTTCTAACTACTTAATGAACATGACTGAGATGCTATTTTGCCAGTTCTACTGTAGATCCTCTAAAGGTTGCTGTAAGGGTCAGGTCCTAGTTTCACGCCGTTTCCTCAGACACACACTCCGAGACACATTCGCAGTTGGAGCTCCGTCCTCTGCCGGCCACTCTACAGCTCCACTGGAGCAGATGTGTTAAGCAAAGTGCTAAAAGGCTCCTCAAGGGCATTTGTTGAGGAGTGGGAGAGTGTTACTCACAAACTTCCCCTACCAGGCTTTTACCAGCCTGTCGCAGAATATGAATCACTGACCTTCCACATGCAAACCTGCTTCTCTTTACCTCTGGGCCTCCGTCACTCTGTTTTCATCTTTTTTTTTTATTTCCTCCCATTGCAGTG